CATTAAGTTCTGGTGTGCCTGGCGTGTGGCTTTTCCGTGTCCGGCAACGGATCGCAACCCTCAGTGTTGCCCCCGTACCGGACCGGGGACCGGCAACGGGATCGCAAGCCTCGGTGTTGCTCCCGCGCCTTGCTCAGCCAGTGAGCGGGAACCGGTCTGTATGTGGGATCCGAACCCTCGGACAGGAGCGCCGCTGTGCTTCCCAAGCGGAGCACTATCCAGTGCGCCACCGGGCCGGCCCGAGGAGTCAACAATTCTGTTCTAACTATTTAATCAATCAACAAAAGTGCATTAAGTTCTGGTGTGCCTGGCGTGTGGCGGGTTCTAAGGATACAGAATTGAATAAGACATAGTCCTGGCCCTCAGGAAACTATATAATCAAATAATAAAACAGAATGGTAAGAGGCAAACATAGTGTGTTATAAGAGCACCTAGGAGGGACAGTAGTCAGGGAAGGCTTCCTAGAAAAGGTGACACCTAAACGGATCTTAGATAATGTCTACTTATTAGCCAGTACACTCTAGACGAGGGGACTGCATGAGAAAAGTCTTGATGTAAAGGACACCGTGATGTGTGTGAGGTATTAGATGCAGTATAGTGGTCCTAAAACATAAGGTATGAGTCAAGAAGTAGCAAGATAAGGCTAGCAGATAAAAAGGGCCAGGACAAGGATGGGCTGTGTCTCATGTAAATGAACATTGACTTTATCATGATGTGGGCATCTGTTGAAAATTTTTGACAGTTGAATGATGTGGTTATAGTCATATTATAGATAAATGGTTCTGAATACTTTGTTGAAGTTATATTTGAGAAGCACTAGATTACAGACAGGGACACCAAAGTTTGATTGTTGGAATTACTCTTATATGGCCTAAAACTAGAGTATAGGATTGAGGAAGGGGGTTTGGAGTGAGGAAAATCTAAGTAAAAAGTTCAGGTTTTGGTGTTTGATGAGTCTCTCTTTAAAGTCAGGAAATCAGAACAGCTACCAATGGCAGTAGAAAAATTAGGTTGGTAGTTAGTGAATCTGTGTTGGAAATCCAAGCCATTTTATCATGCTTTCAACAAACATTGAACACTCACTGTGTACCAGTTATTCTACTTGAGGCTGGGACTGCAAAGTTCTGACATAATTGTCAGACTTAAGGCATTTTTTTAGTCTTTTTTTCTTGTGTAAAATTGTTTTCCACACAGGATTTGTGAGGATTAGAAGAATTTAAAGTAGAAAGCACTGGAACCTTGAAGGATGTTATAGTAGTGTTTTTATTCTTTTCCTTACTGTGCATGTAGGTATGTGGTATATTTACTATTTTCAGGATTAATGTGGTGGTTAAAAATACAGATAGAGGATATAGAATGATAGAACCAGACTATCTGAGTTTGAGTCCCAGACCTACCATTTATTAAGTCTGTGACCTAGAGCAAGTTATTTCACCCATCTCTTAATTTCCACGTCTGTAAAAATGTTAATTAATAGCACATCAACATAGGATTCTTATGAGGCTTTAATGATTTAATATTTGTGACATGTTTAGGACAGTGCCTGAAACATAGTAAGGTCTATGTAAGTGTTTGTTTAGATAGAAAGGTGAGTAGGGAGTGAGTGTCATCAACTCATTCCACTTATTCACAATAGGTTTCTAAGTGAAAGTCCACTTTAGATGGGTTTAGTCAATTGGCATGTGCATGTGTTTATTCTCTACCTGCTATGATAGAAGAATTTAAAAGTAGTAAAATACTAGCTTCTGCTCTCAAATGACTTATCTTATTGGGAGGACAAGATGATAACAGTTATTCATTTAATAAATAACTCTTAATAATTGAAGTCTATAATAAGTGATAAGAAGATGCAAATGAGTGGTACCTATCCTCATACCTAAAGGAGAACAAAATATAAAATAATAGGGGGGTATAATTTTGGTGTAGTTGAAAGATCCAAGAAAACCGAGCACTGGTCTTATCTCTATCATTAATTCCAAAATTCAAAACATTCTGAAAACTGAGCTTAGCTTTCATTTGCTTGGGTGCTAAAACCCATTTGACAGCGAAATGTGACCTGAACTGACCTGAGGATATTTATAATCTTAATACTACTTAGTGTGTCTATTCATAAGTTTGCTGCAGGAATATTGGTGTATTTGATTTCAGGGTGTTTGGTTACCCTGCTGGAGATATTATATGATATATGGTAGATGTACAATATATGAAAAATTCCCAAAATTCTGAATTCTAAATACTTCTGGACTCAAAATTTTTGGATAAGGGATTATTGGTTTTTACTGCACATTCATGTCAGACAATACAGAAAGTACAGCAAAAATAATAAATTAAAACTCTCCTATAAAATTAAAATCACTATGAGATATTAGTACACTCCCACTAGCCTGGCAAAAGTGAAAAAAATTGCTGGAGAGGAACTTTCATACATTGCTGGTAAGAGTATGAAATAATACAAACACTTTGAAAAACCGTTTGGCAGTTTCTTATAAAGTTAAACATACACTTATACAACGCAGCCATTTCACTCCTATATATTTACTGAAGATTACAAGAATGCTCACAGCATCTTTATTCATAATAGCCAAAAACTGAAAGTAGTCCAGATGTTTATTAACAGATGAATGGATAAAGGAAATGTAGTATACAATAAAATACTACTCAGCAATAAACAGGAGTGAACTACTGATATTATGTAACAACATTAAAGTAATCTCAAAAACAAGCCGAACACAAAGTATATACATATGATTTCATTTACATGAAATTCTATATATGCAAAACTAACTTGTGGTGATAGAAATCAGATAATGGGGCCGGCCCGTGGCTCACTTGGGAGAGTGTGGTGCTGATAACACCAAGGCCAGAGGTTCAGATACCTATATAGGGGTGGCCGGTTATCTCATTTCAGAGAGCATGGTGCTGACACCACCAAGTCAAGGGTTAAGATCCCCTTACTGGTCATCTTTTAAAAAAATAAAATAAAAAAGAAGAAATCAGATAATGATTGCTTCTGGCAGGAGTGGACACTAACTAGGAAGGGTCATGAGAAAACATTTTTGGATATTGGAGATGTATATCTTTTTTTTTTTTTTCCCCAAAAGATGACCAGTAAGGGGATCTTAACCCTTGACTTGGTGTTGTCAGCACCACACTCTCCCAAGTGAGCTAACCGGCCATCCCTATATGGGATCCGAACTTGTGGCCTTGGTGTTAATCAGCACCGCACTTGCCCAAGTGTGCCATGGGCCGGCCCTGGAAATGTATGTCTCGATAGGGATGTGGTCATACAAGTATATGCATTTTTCAAAAATAAAAGAGTACATTTAAGATTTTATAAATTATACAGCAACTGAAAAAAACTTACTCATCTCACTACTTGGAGATAACCATATTTTACTTTATATCTCAACACTTTTAAAAATTGTGTAACATTTTTATAAATGGAATCAGTGTACATACTATTTAATAATGTGATCTTTTTTTCCTAAAGTATATTGTAAATATTTCCCCATGACATGAATTTTTTATTTTTTTTTGCATATAGCCTTCACACTTCCTCCTGTATACTTTACTTTTTTTTTTTTTTTTTTTTTTGAGAAATGAGTTTTGAGCTTGGTCAATCTTCCATAACAAAATCTGTCAAAGAAAATGAAGGACAGTTACATATTTAACAAGTTATACAATATATATGAAGATTATTATACTTTATCTTTTTTTTTTTTTTTTTTTAAAGATGACCGGTAAGGGGATCTTAACCCTTGACTTGGTGTTGTCAGCACCATGCTCACCCAGTGAGCCAACCGGCCATCCCTATATGGGATCCGAACCCGGGGCCTTGGTGTTATCAGCACCGCACTCTCCCGAGTGAGCCACGGGCCGGCCCCAAGATTATTATACTTTAAAAGAATTACATAAAGTTAATGTTTGAGTAAAATATTTACATCAGTGGTGCTCTGTAAACTGCTTAATAGTCTTTTTCCTTTTTTTAAATTCTTTAAAAAGATAGCAAAATTTGGAAACCTTTGTCTAGACTTACCAAGAAAAAGGAGAGAAGACAGAAATTACTAAAATCAGAAATAAAGCATGGGCATGGTAGAACAGTTGCTTCTTCTAGTACGCTGGAGTGGGCTTTGAGGAGAAAGATGTCCTCTTCTTTTCCCCGTCTCTGCTGATGACTCTCCTTGTGACACTGCAGTCGGATGTCTGGCAGGCTGCCTGCATGGTAGCTGTGGCTGTTGCTGTGATGTTGAGCTGCTTTTGCAGCAGTCGTGGCTGTGGTGGTGGCTGTAGTGGGCCAACCATGGGGAAGTGGTGTTTTCGGCATGCTCCTTGCCTGTTTCCCAGCAGAGGATACTATCCTTGGCTCCTACTTTAGGACTCCAGGTGTGTCCTGTGTCTGGCCTGCATCCAGGCAGCTGAAATCTTTAATGATTATGGATTTGTGATTTTTTTTTATTTTTAAGCAAGAATTTCCTTCTAACTATTTGCTGGAAACCAAAGTGTAAAACAGATAAAAGCTGAGCTGCTCTGGTTGAATGGGAAGAAGGAGGAATAGTTGAATTACATGATCTGTAAGATCCATTCTAGGTTTAAAGAGGTACTTTTCTGTGTAGGAGAGTCAACACGACCCTGTACATGTATTCTTTTTTCCATGATTCTAACTAAATGGGAACATAATAATTAACATTTATGAACATGTACTATGGTCCAGGCTTTGTTCTAAGTGTTTTTTGTGAATTATTTAATCCTCATAATAACCTTGTAAAGTAGGCTTTTATTCCCATTTACAAATGGCATGCTACAGTGGCGTGAGATTGGGTGATTTGCCCAAAGTCAGACAGTAGATAAAGGATGAAGCTCAGACTTGGATTGAGTCCATTGGCTCCAGAATTCACCACTACACTTCAACTATCTTTCAAAATAAAGTAAGTCATTTTGCTTTGTACCTATGAAAAGATAGAAAGCTTTCTGTAATAATTTTGCCTTTTATTTTTGACTAGAACTAGCCAATATGGAAGAGGATCCCAGATCAGCTGGAGTTGCTACTTTTGTTCTTCAAGAAGAATTTGATAGATATTCTGGCTATTGGTGGTGTCCAGAAGCTGAAACAAGTAAGGGTGTTCAAAATAATATATTATAGGTCAATTGAAGTGTTATAACATTCAAACTGTCAATTAATTAACTACACAGATTCTAAATCTTGGATAGTAGATTCTAACGTGATGAAGATTGAATCCTACCAGTAGTTATTTAGAAGATATAGGCTATATCTCACCATAATGAACTCTAGTAAAAACAATTGTGTTGTGGTTTAGTGCCTCAGGTCTGTCAATTCTAATTGCCAGTGTTTCACTTAGAAGCTGGTCTTGGTGAAGTTGGCAATATTGGTGGCAAAATAAAAATAACCACACCTTACACACCTTAGGGAGTTGCTATAAAAATGTGTGACTGACTAGAGAGTCTGTAGGAACAGATGACCAAATCAGCGTATGAATGAATAGGAAGAAAGGGAACAAATTCCTTCTTTTTCTGGGTGAATTCACAAGTATTTCACTGCCTGAGATCAGCTCTCTGAATCAATGGTTTTCAAACTTTTTGACAATGATCTAGTTAGAAATGTGCTTATTAATTATGGCCTAGTACATTGTACATGTACTGTATAGATAAAGCTGAAAATACATTTTATGAAGCATTATTTATCCTCACGTGTAATGTACTCTGATACCATTATTCTTTTCTGTTTATTTTATTTTTTTAAATGCTGGTATGACCCATTAATAGATTTCATGAGCCACTAATGGTTTGCAGCTAGTAGTCTGAACACTTCTCTAAGGGACCATGAAAAATGTTTATTTTTAAGCCATGTCTTGGATTTGGATATTTTGTTTTAAGATGTAAAATGTTTTACCTAAATTGTATTTTTTAGAACACGATTTTGACATAAGTAGAGAAACCATTCAAAACAACTGGACTCTATTTAAATAGCATTTTTATAGGAAATACGATAAACGTAATCAAATAATTCCTTTTTCAACAAATAATGCATTTGAAGGCATGCAAAGACAAAATCCTTCAAAAGTGTTTTCACCCTGTTTTAAAAATATATATACATATTTTTATTATGTGTACATAGTATATATAAGACATATTATCTTCAGGTTTTTTTCCTCTCCAAATGGCGTAATCTTTAATCAGTAGCTTAGCACTAGCTTAGTTGGCTTCTGCAAAGACTAGTGATATCTTCATACATAAAAGGCAGCGTATTTTATTGTATTTATTTCTTTTCTATTCTTTTATTTCATTTTTGGCAGATGGCTGGTGCAGCAATCTGAACCCTTGATCTTGGTGTTATAACATCGCACTTTAACCAACTGAACTAACCGGCCAGCCAAGCAGCATGTTTTATACATAAATTATTTTTTACTATGAGAAATCTAATACTAGAGGGAATGATCAGTTATGATTACTCTCTGGAATAATTCTTCTAAATTTTCAATATCTAAATTCCTTTTAAGCTCCTAGTGGCGGTAAAATTCTTAGAATTCTATATGAAGAAAATGACGAATCTGAGGTTGAAATTATTCATGTTACATCCCCTATGTTGGAAACAAGGAGGGCAGATTCATTCCGTTATCCTAAAACAGGTACGGTACTCCATTGGCATTTATATTCACTCATTTTCTCCTTACAAATAAGATTGTTTTTGTAGTCATCCAGAGGTATAGTCAACATTAGTTATTTACAGCTTTAGTAAGGATTGTCACTGAAATAGATTTTGAATTAGAGCCTGATCTTTTTTAATTATTTTCAAAGGTGTCAGGATGTCTGCAAAACTGGTTGCTTCAAGGGATGTGTAAGAAGGTGTCTTTGCTAGCAGATGGAGATTTTTAAGTGATTTTGTTCATAATAAATTAGTAATTTTTTCCCATTTTGCTCTTTACAGAATTTCAGTTACAAAAATGGTACAGTGTTTTCCTTCTTTATTTCATATTGACTTTTTGTGTTTTTCAGCGTCTTTTTTTTTTTTTGATACTCTTATTAAAAAGTATGAATTTGAAGTGAGGCTCTGAAATTGTTGTGCAATAAAGCATTGACTATATACATATGATTGACTTAACTAAAGTGTAGAAAGGATTGATCTGGCAAAATTAGTTTGAGTAGTTTTGAGTATGCATTACTATTCATTTATGTCTCTTTCTAAAGGCACAGCAAATCCAAAAGTCACTTTTAAGATGTCAGAAATAATGATTGACACTGAAGGAAGGGTAAGTATAAAATGCAGAGTTGACTTTCTTTTTTCTTTTCAGGAGAGGGGAGTTGACTTTCTGTGTCATTTGACTAATCTAGTCAGCCTAGTAGGGGTCTGTGGTACACTTTTTAATTTTTGGACTCAGTGCCTGACTCTGTGAAGAAACATAGATAATCGTAGTTTTCAACTTGAGAGATATCAGTGGATCATGATTTTAGATTGAACTAATTTTCTACTCTCAAAACTTCCTGCTGGTTCCCAAGATAGGAATATGGAGATATGCATATTTACCATTCTTGGATCCAATAGTTTTTCCTCTTTGCCTTTATTAATTCTCCAGATCAATATTGGGGGAGGGGAAAGGTGGTTATTGACTAGTGAATTATTTTCTGTATTGGGTAGATGTCTATGGTGAATTAAATATCCCACATTTCTCTTATACTGCTGCTCTTTGTTTGGACAGCCACACAAGACTAGTTAAAAAGCAGTCTTCTCTGCTAGACTTTTTTTAAAACAGTTTTTGTGAGATATAATTCATATACCATATGATTCACTCATTTAAAGTTTAAAATTCAGTTGTCTTTCACTATATTCACAGAGTTGTGCAGCTATCACCACAGTGAATTTTAGAACATTATTATCACTTCAAAAAGAAACCCCACACCCCTTTAGCCGTTATCCCCCAACCTCATCATACACTCCAACCCTAGGCAACCACTAATCTACTTCCTCTATATTTAGATTTTCCTATTCTGGACATTTCATTTAAAATGGAATCATACAATATATAGCCTGGTTTCTTTCACTTAGATTAATGTTTTCAAGGTCAACCCAAGTTACGCCTTGTATCAGTACTTCATTTATTTTTATTGCTGAATAATATTTCATTGTATGGATATTCTACATTTTATTTATCCATTTATCAATTGATGAACATTTGAATTGTTTTTGCTTTTTGGCTGTTATGAATAATCCTGCCATGAATATGCTTATACAAGCTTTTGTGTGTGCTGACTTTTTCATAGGGTATATGCTTAGGAGTGGAATTGTTGGGTCTTGAAAACTCTATGTTTAACCTTTTGTGGAACTGTTTTCCAAAGTGGCTGCACTATTTTAAATTCTCACCAGCAATGTATGTTTCCATTTTCTCCACACTATCACCAACACTTGTTATTGTCCATTTTATTTATTAGCCATCCTAGTAGCTTTGAAGTAGTATCTCATGCTTTTGATTTACATTTTCCTGATGGTTAATGATGTTGAGAATCTTTTCCTATGATTATTAACCATTTGCATAGCTTCTTCAAAGGACTATCTATTCAGATCCTTTGCGTGTTTTTAAAAAATTAATTTTTAGGGCCGAGCCCGTGGCGCACTCGGGAGAGTGCAGCGCTGGGAGCGCAGTAGCGCTCCTGCTGCATGATGTTGAGAATCTTTTCCTATGATTATTAACCATTTGCATAGCTTCTTCAAAGGACTATATATTCAGATCCTTTGCGTGTTTTTAAAAAATTAATTTTTAGGGCCGAGCCCGTGGCGCACTCGGGAGAGTGCAGCTCTGGGAGCGCAGTAGCGCTCCTGCCGTGGGTTCGGATCATATATAGGGATGGCTGGTGCGCTCACTGGCTGAGCGCGGTGCGGCCAGTCTCAAAAAGGACCAAAAAAAAAATTAATTTTTAAAATGCTGTCTGCTAAACTTTTAAGGGAAAAGGTTTACTTACCCAGGGCCATTTCATTAATATATAACACAAATATATTTTAGGCTAAAATATAGGGAACTATTATTTTTCTTAGATACTAGGGTCTAAAGTGATTAAAACTTGATTTTATCAGTTATTATTAAGGGTTCTGTTAGTATAAATTCATAGGAAAAGAGTTTTAGACTGCTAATTTTTGTGGTTAGAACTTTTTTAGACATAAAAAGCACCAGTATAAGTAACCCATGACTTACTGCTAGTTTTGCTATGTTCTTTGTGCCTCTTTAAATACCTAAGTCTGAAAAAGTATTCTGTTGTTACAGATAATCATTTAAGTAGACTAGTGAGCTAATTATTTATCTAAATCTATAACTAGATTCCTTTTTTCTTTTCTAATAGATTATAGATGTCATAGATAAGGAACTAATTCAACCTTTTGAGATCCTATTTGAAGGAGTTGAATATATTGCCAGAGCTGGATGGACTCCAGAGGGAAAATAGTGCGTATATTAATTGTCACTTCTTTACAACTAATTTAGGATCCAGAGCTTTGGAAGTGTGTATGCTGGTAGCTTTGCCTTACATTTGGAGCTGCCTTCACATGTGAATTTGAAGTATAGTTATTTCTGCATAAGAGATTTTTCCCAAACAAAGTAGACTTGGGATTCATTATCCTATAAGCATAGATGCATTGCATTTAATTCTATCTCTTTCTTAGCCAGTTATGGTTCACAGTGCTATTTGTGGTTAGATTGTGTAACTTTAAGACTTACACATAAATGTGTATTTTTTTAATTGTGTAATTTAAGCAGAAATATTTGTAGAGCCTTATATATGAGGCTGATTACATATAGTTCCTGTATCTAATGTAGACAATGGGAGTTTTACAAGACTGGTATTTGTTCACTAGCATTTGTTGGCACTAAAGGGAGAAAATTTCAGAGGTCAACTATGGTTTTGGAAATTTAAAGAAAACCCCTTTTTAAAAATAAGTCTACAGTACTTTTTTTTTTTTTTTTTTTTTTTAAAAAGGATGACCGGTAAGGGGATCTCAACCCTTGGCCTGGTGTTGTCAGCACCACGCTCAGCCAGGGAGA